CCAAAGTTGGAAAAGTGCTTTCCGTTTGTGGTTGTTGTAGCGGCCACTTTTCCATAGTGCTCGTCTATCTACTTGCAAGTGGTTGGATTGCTTTCTACCTCTACACTTCTTCTAAAAGCACTGCGTTCTAGCTTTCTATGCCTGTTACTCACTGAGCGAGAAGCTACCTAGAGCAATTTAACTGCACTGCGCTTTTATAATGGTTTTATGATATTTTGGTTTGAGTTTTTTAATGTTTTTTAATAAGCAGTTTGACAACACGCTACTAGCAGTGAGTTGCCTGACTACTCTTTCTATCTATTTCATTGTACTTTACCATGATCTATGTTTGCTATGTCTGTTGTGCTGTAAACTAGACAACTCTGGATAATTCAATTATTTTAACAAGTGGTTGCACCCACAACAACAAACACTGATGAAGACGCTCCAGCTACATCAGTTGTTTTTGTTTACAACACCAGGGTTTGATGTTTTGTTTATGAGAACACATTAGGCCACTATTTTTTCCTCAAACTGGTCTGCTCTGTTACTGTTACATTGCGCTATATACCGCGCTAGTAAGTCACTGCAGCAGTTACTTTAAGTTAATCGCAAAAAACAGCAACTTCTGCAAAAAATGTGGAGAAATGTTGTCCTGGCTTTCGCTCAGGCCGTTGTTGTGCCCGAAGCTGGGTGGGAGGTACGCAGAATCCTACTGGCGTCAGGATGGCGGGAAGCTGTTGGTCGGTCGAAGGAGCGTGTGGAACGGGTAGAAGCGGTTGGAATTAGGTTTCNCGGTTGCGAGTCGGGTCGCAAGCTGGTCTGTGTCTAAAAGTGTTGTGTCACGCTGGCTCTCTAACCGCCAGTGCAACGTTGGTGTGTCGTGTGTGAGCGGCTCCTTACGAACCGTCGTAGAGTACGTTACTGTGTGTTGGTGTTGTGTTGGTGTTCTGGTGGGGATTTTACAGGAATTGGGTTGGGAATAATAAAAGTAAGGGTAATAATAAAATAATCAAAAGTCGACTGTAGCAATCGTGCTACAAAATATCTGAAGAACTAAAAGTTCATTCCATGTGCGGTTTTTGGTCATGTGGGTGGGGTTAACAATAGATCATTAATAAAACCACAAAAGGGGCGTTTTCTGTTACAAAACATTCAAGTACTCTTTCCAAAAGTACATTGAAATAAGAAGCTAGTCTCAACTTCAATCGTCAATATCTCGGGAACTACAAGAGCAATTGATGTCCGGTTTGGATAAAAAGGATCCTGGTGGAATCCTGGTGCACCAGGGGGGTAAAAAAGATCCAAAAAAGGTCAAGGTCAAGGTTGTGGAGAGGGTCGAACTCCCAATCTCTTGATTCGAAGTCAAGCGCCTTATCCATTAGGCCACACAACCGCCTCTGTTGAAGATGAGTACTGGCCGCCACACTTTAAACTGCATGTTACGCTGATCGCTTCACTTTCCTGCCTGACGACCAACTCAGTACACGTAACACAATCTGCTTGCCAGACAGTCTGCCTTAGAAGGTAGAGCTGCCTGAGCCACAATGTTTACAGTACTACTAGTGCCAGTTGGATTGAGGATTCAAGATGAATTAAATCATGAAAGCGTTTTCGGTCAAAAAAGTTTAAGTTTTAAAATCTTTTTTTTCATTTGAAGTTAAAACTAGCTCTGATCATTGTCTGAATTGGTAGGTTTAATACATAGAGCATCGATTTTTCACCCATTTTTTCAACATAAGTTTCATCACAAAGGATATTTCACTCCCACAAATTAAATGCAAATTCATTTTATTATGCATTTTCAGTCATTTATTGACAACAATTAAATAAATATGACTTTTTTGTCAATTAGGAGAAAGATCAACAGA